CATGACACAACAAGCTAGTTGCACCTTGCTCTCCTTCTTACTACTTAGATAATAGAATAATCAGCAGCAATTATGTGTAAGCCTTCTCACGCAGATTCCACCCCATACCATTGAAGATCGACTAAAGCCAGATCCGAGGGTCTTGCAATCGTCGCCCGGAAAAGTCCTCATGTTCCGCTGGAGTGAACAACGCTAACTTGGAACAAAGAAAAACCGGGTCGACGGGCAAGTGGACGGGCACTCGAATGACAAATGAAGGTCCTTCGGGTGCATCCCCAGCCAGTGCCACGATCGGCGAGGGCCCCATCCATTTTGGGAAGGAGCTTGCGAGAGATATCTTGTTCGAGGCTGAACTCCGCAGCGGAGACCCATATGAGGTCGCGGGCACGGAATGGACAAAGAAGACGCTGACGATTGGCCTGTTGGCTCATGTGTTGCTGCATCTTCGACATCTGGTCACGCGCCTTGATAAGTAGCTCTTGCATCCAACGCAAGAAAAGAAGATGATCGTCGCTTCTGTTTTTTTTTTTTTTTTTTTTTTTATATACATGCCGTTCTCTCTCTCTCTCTCTCTCTCTCTCTCTCTCTCTCTCTTGAAATCTAGAATGGACTTCCCTGCCTCGTTGGCAGGGCTTACTAAGAAAAAAAAAGAAAAAAAAAACGTATTGACTTTCCAAAAAAAAAGAAAGAAAAAATGCACTTACCTTTGCGCGGAGAGCTTTGGAGATAGAGGGCCTTGCTCCACTACTGACCAAATGTGCAACATGAGCATGAATCTTCTGGTAGAACACAGGTAGATACACTGCTAGTAGTTTAGAGCTTGAAATGCCCTTTTTCCTGGCCGCGTGTGGGGTGGTACAACCCTCAGTAGCTTGCTATTCGTTTTTCAAAAAAAAAAAATTCCCCCTACTTGGGGCTCTATCCAACGTCCTAGCTCAATTGGGTAGGCATGCAAGTGGCATTCAGGAGGTCGTGGGTTCAATCCCCACGGCCGCCTATGGCACTCCTGGTGCCAACCAACTGAGATAGTGAGCTGGATCCTCCCAGTCGGTATCAGTAAGGTCGTGTGAGTGGTTTGTGTGTGACATGTGGGAGAGTGCTTTGGACACTACCATCCAGAAGGCTTCCCATCCCCCACTTCATAAGACCTTTGCCAAGCTTACTGTCTAGAACATAAAGCATGCTACCCGAATGGCTGCGTCCCCGTTGGACACTACAATCCAGAAGGCTGCCCATCCCCCACGTCA